CGACAAAAAGCCCAAAAGATGGAGAGAAAGAAAGAAAATATAACAAAATTGATAACTTTAAAGGTTATAAATTCGAGGCTGCGTGCAGTAGGCGGCGAAGTTGTTCTGAGAGATAAACGCTACACCGAGGGGAGCCAGGATATCGAAACCCAATTTCCTGGAGCCAAGGCAGACTTTGAGGACCTCACAGCGGTTGCGCTCCGTGACAGCGGTCTCAATAGCTATACTTCCCAGTGGCTGGCGTGGATCTGATGAGGAGTATCGAAGGACAAAGCTTGGGGCATCATCGATGAATTGCCACTCTTTATCGACCGCCCGAAGATAAGTGGTGTTCCCAGAGTCTTGGAGTGAAAAGTTGAGATAGGGTGAAATTTGATAAGTCCCTGTCATGCATGGGACGGGAACTGAAGTTGAGTTTATTGTGGTTACGCATTGCGCTGAGATGGCATTGTTTTTTCCGGGGGAGGCGATTGATACGGATTGGATGTTTGGTCGGAGGTCGGCGGGAACGACCCCTTGTGATGCTGCGCCGGCGAATGAGAGCGTTTGGGTTGATGCGTTTGGGTCGTTCGTCATTACGTAGTCGAAGTAGTGGATTTTGGCTGTTGAGTCTGGGGTTTCGGGGTAATAGAATGACATGAAAGGCTGTCGAGAAGAACCAAGTGAGGGAGATTGGATGATGGCTTCTCCCGCGAAAGAGTCACAGAGGTGTGTCCATTGGTACTATAAGTGTGATTCGTGAGCAGGGGTATTCGCGTGAACACATTTCGTCTTACCTGTTGGGCGAGAGGCAGGCCAGCAAATGGGGCAAATAATGGGCCAGCGCACATGGCGAAGGCAATGGGAAGGACGATTGTGAGATGGAAGGTCCTCTTCAAATACTTGATGAATTTCTCATATAGTAACTTGTCCATTGGGGACGCTGTCGTCATTTCACGGGTCTTCCACCATCTTACGAGCTCAAAGTAACTGGTCCACACCAGTTCCACTGACGTACACTGATTGACCGTGTCAGGGCGGGTAGAGCGATGAGCGCGGTGAACATACGACATGGAAAATGGTTTCCACAACTTGTGGTGGGCGGTCACTATATTACGGTGGTTGGGTTTTGACCCTCCTTCCACGTCTGAAATCGAGGAGCGTCAGAGTTTGTCATTCGCAGTTCGGACGTGACGGATACGAACATCCCAAAATCCAGGCGGCTTGAAGTGACGAAACGGAGAGCCACACAACGATGACTGTTTGACGACTTGAACTTTGACACACACACAGTTTGGTGTTCGACTTACCACCTAGCCATTGGAGGGGTGACCAGGAAGCGCGCCGTGTTTCCAAAAGATCTTGTTTGCAGGAGTTTGGTCGCCCAGTCAGTAAAAATCGGACACCAGTATAGAGATACCGGGGCAGGCTCTTGAAGTAATTGCATATATCGGTCGATCGCTTGATGAGTAATTCGCCGACGGCAAGGAAGGGCGGTATTATAGAGAAGACTGAAGTCACCTAGAATTGCAATATGGTTAAACGCAGACGGTTATGATCATCGGACCATTATTACCTGGCCATAGTTGAATTGATAACCATCGAATGTTAACCCTCTGGCTATGCCAAGGGACCAACTCCAATGAAAACACAAAACAACGAGGAAAAGCATCCACGGGTGAGACTGCGTGATAATGGACCTAGCGGTCTCATGTTATCCCATCGAGCGTGTTAAGATCAAATGACCTACCAACACGCCATCGGTACATGCCAGACGGTTAAGAAAATTCGCTTCCATGTTGGGAGACCTAGCAGTTCATCTTGCCAGGTTTGGTATTCATAAAATATGTCGTATCTGTGGCGAACTAGATAGATTCCGTATATCCAGAGGCCTAGCGACACCATTCCCAATCCTCCTCTTTCCTCGATGTCGTTTATTAAATCCCGCTTACCCATTAAGGACGCCGATAAAATTGGATGCGAGTTGGAACTCAGTCCACAGAGATAGTGTCATTCCCCGGCAGAGTGGACTATTGCTGAAGGCCTTTGTGTAGAAAGACGTCATGAGACTCACAAACAGCCAGAGAAAGGGTAGGATCAGGCCGAGGTACCGCACAACGGCCTTAGACGACGCCAGCTTCTTAAAAAGAGTATTCGGACGGCGGAAAACGTCTCGAAATGAAGAATAGACAAGGTAGACTGTTATCGGTGAAGCAGTAACGGCGACAGCATAATGAGCATCGAACAAGGAGAGGTTCTCGCTCCCAATGCTTGACGCCGTTGCGATGAGAATGGGATAGACTTGCGATATAAGCATAAAGATCGAAGTCTTGAGGTCATCCTCAGGCTCTGACCAGCGTAGGAGGATCGCTATTATCTCGAGATGTGGCATATGTTTAGAAAGTTCCGCGAGGGTAACTTACGAAGAAAAATATTGATGGCCATATCTGTGTTTATACATACGTCAGAGAAGTCGCCCATTTTTCGAAGACACTGAACATACTGGACACTCCTACTGCAATTCCTCCTACATCTGGGTCAACGAGGCCAGTACGAATCGTCTGAGCAGTAAGGCAAGGATCAGGTAGACTAATGGAATTCATGGTCGAGTGGATTAGAGGAACTTTGGTGTAATAGAGATGGAAGAGGCGGATATTTGGGGTTTTCCTCAACTTGATGTTGTGCGGTTGTTACCATATCTATAGTTGTAATGATTGAATGTGTGTTCTCATGATCTACGCGGCAATGTCAGAAGTAAGGGGAGGAGGAACTAATAATGTTACTTGCTTTGGGCTGGCTTCGGACAGCCTCGACCTCGATTTGGGAAAAACTGACGATCGTGAGGCAAGATTTCATTGTTTCCAGGTACCCGCGACAATAAGATTGACATCTGTCTGTCCTTTCTGCGGATTCTCTCGTCATTTGCACAACATTTCCAATTTTACACTGCCCTGTGAGAATATTTAATTTTAGGGTACGTACGCGGGGCAACTCGAGTCGTGTCCAATTCATTATCAATCGACACCTGACGTTAGCTGCTTTAAGAAAATAGTGAAGGAATAAAACAATCATACTTTTGTACAACGCTCACGAGAAAACGGCAGATAAATCATAGGCGCCGAACAACGTCTAGGTGTGAGGCTCACGACCACCAAGCCGAGTTGTTTGGTGTAGGACAGCCTTAGAGAGGGAAAGGTGCAGACTCGACAGATGAGGCTTAGTGAAAGACATGCAAGGCCACTTACCTTGAGGCAGCGCAAACGACTCAACT